ATTTATTGTTTTCACTAAATAATCTTATCAAAAGTTCAAACTTTTCTCCTGAATTTAAAGAAGACGTTTGAAAGACTTAGTCAAAAAACTTAAATTAGAGGCATATGATATTGTAATAAGAGCAGGACGTCACACAGATTGAATAACAACACAAGCCAATAGCAGGAACGTTTCGACGCAACGCCGTCCTCCACAAAGGGCTTTTGTGAAGTGAATAAATAGTGGTACAAGATAGGTTTAGACTTGAAAAAAAAAAAAAAGACCGAGCAAATAAAAGTACCGTCTCGACTAAACGCCTTCTTCTGCAGACAAAACAAAACAATTATAACTTAATATTTAAAATTTAAAAACTTAAGTGTTCCCAGATCACAATGCAGCTTTCTCAAACAAAGTGTTTAAAAAAAAAATAATAATACAGAATCAATCAGAACGTTAAAGTTTAGAGTCGTGTTATAGTACAGAGTCGTGTTATAGTACAGGGTCGTGTTATAGTACAGGGCCGTGTTATAGTACAGGGCCGTGTTATAGTACAGGGCCGTGTTATAGTACAGAGCCGTGTTATAGTACAGACCCGTGTTACAGTACAGAGTCGTGTTATAGTACAGGGCCGTGTTATAGTACAGAGTCGTGTTATAGTACAGAGCCGTGTTATAGTACAGACCCGTGTTATAGTACAGAGCCGTGTTATAGTACAGAGTCGTGTTATAGTACAGAGTCGTGTTATAGTACAGAGCCGTGTTATAGTACAGACCCGTGTTATAGTACAGAGCCGTGTTATAGTACAGAGTCGTGTTATTGTACAGAGTCGTGTTATAGTACAGAGTCAAGTTATAGTACAGAGTCGTGTTATAGTACAGAGTCGTGTTATAGTACAGAGTCGTGTTATAGTACAGAGTCGTGTTATAGTACAGAGCCGTGTTATAGTACAGAGTCGTGTTATAGTACAGAGTCGTGTTATAGTACAGAGCCGTGTTTAAGTACGGGGTCGTGACTACTCTCGACAGGTTTATGGTTCGGTTGTTCACCAGGTCTATATGGCATATATAGCTATAAACCCTGGTCAAAATATGCAGGTCATCCCAGAGTTATATATACATGTCACGTGTTCCCTATACACCGGTAACTGTGTCATCTCATCCGGTTTTGATTTCGACTTTGCTTCAAAATAAAACCTACTACGCCTATGGCATTGGATGCGTCTGACAATAACAACACAATAATGCGTAGTGGAGTTTACAAAGCGTCTCATAACGGTTGAACCTGCTACAAGTGCAACCGAGACTGTCACTGCAGGATCGGCCTCGTACGTCACTGCAGGATCGGCCTCGTACGTCACTGCAGGATCGGCCTCGTACGTCACTGCAGGATCGGCCTCGTACGTCACTGCAGGATCGGCCTCGTACGTCACTGCAGGATCGGCCTCGTACGCCACTGCAGGAGCGGCCTCGTACGCCAGCAACCGAGTATGTCACTGCAGGATCGGCCTCGTACGTCACTGCAGGATCGGCCTCGTACGTTACTGCAGGATCGGCCTCGTACGTTACTGCAGGATCGGCCTCGTACGTCACTGAAGGATCGGCCTCGTACGCCATTGCAGGATCGGCCTCGTAAGCCATTGCGGGATCGGCCTCATAAGCCACTGCAGAAGCGGCCTCGTACGCCATTGCAAGATCGGCCTCGTACGCCATTGCAGGATCGGCCTCGTAAGCCACTGCAGGATCGGCCTCGTAAGCCACTTCAGGATCGGCCTCGTAAGCCATTTAATGTCATTAGCTACCCCCATCGTCTCGCAAAGATAGAAGGATACCACAATGTATCAGATGTACTCGGTCTTTTGTTGTATTAACCATTGTTGAAGTTTTTGATTGTGTACTCTTTAACTGCTACTGGTTACAACCTAGGACCAACCAGGTCAAATGTCCACACATATATACTATATTGGGAACAACCATACGAAAGGTCACCTTAACATTATGCAGTCACAAGTGGCGTAGCTAGGACTACTGTGGTCCTAGGTGGACCAGTATTTCCGCCCCCCCCCTCCTTTTTTTTTTTGTACACGGAAAAACACTTCAGTTTTCCGAAAAAGACGCACCTCCATTTAAAGAAAAATGTCCCGCTTGGGGCGTAGTGCCCCTTTTGCACCCCCTTACTACGCCTCTGTTTGGTCCTGCTCATTTTATGACCTGGGGTGTAGATGATCTCAATATTTCACCATACTTTTCCCCGCCTGCAACGGTTCTCATCGTTGCCCCCAACCACTAGCCACTGTATTGTTTCTTTTGTTTGAAATTGTAATCTCCCGTCCCGTTTGCACTCAGCCAGGTTATCGTGACGTCACTCTCGTCTGCCCGGCACTAAAAAAAAAATTGGTGCTCCCTTTAATTTTGCAATCGTCACCTCAAAGTCAGTTTTGCACTCGGCCCAGGTAGAACGTGGCCATGTGCAGACGTCACTTCAGAAGTCCCCCGTGCTCAGAACATTGCTCGACCCTTCTGGAAACAATTTCGCTTCTTAGGGATATACCGTTTCATCCACTGTGAACCTGCTCGTAGTGTCTATTTTGTGTTCTACAGCTAGGGAGTTGAGTTGGAGGCTAGACCAGAAACGACACGTTCAGGAGAAAACTCATCGTGGATCCATCAAGTGTTTGTTTACATTCGCCCAGATCTATTCGGTGTGCAGCCAAGGATGTGTTGTAGTTTGTGAAGCTAACTGTGGTGACCACGTGTGTGACGCGCGCTGACACCAACACACACGATGGACCGTAGTATGGTTCTGTGTTGTTTTTAACCGTCAACTCTAACATAGCTCTTAAATGGACTTTGTAACCATTTTTTTTTTAAATTTGGGATGCCATGCTTGTTTGCGTTATTGATTGTATCGGTTACACAAGTCATGGCGTGTGCTGGTGTCTTTCTCAAACGTGGTGATAAGAAGTAGCTGTTGTAGGCCTAATAATGTCAGTGTCGTAGCTCATTTAGGCCTTGTAAGCAAAACAATACTACACATACACCGATGATATATTACTCAAACTTACATCCACTGGGGTTCTGGATCACTGTGTCACTTTGTTCTTTATATGATTGAGTGGCATTTGTAGGCGTTAAAATGGACGACCAGGGCCAAATATAAGACCCACTGTCATTTTCATCAGGATGTGGGGCAGAAATCCAGGGCGCCGCTAACCCCTGAGCAAAATGGGGTGAGGGGTCTTGGAAGCCCCTGCCCAGAACATTTTTCATTATTTTAAAACCCAGAGGTGCGTTTTGGCATAGGCCTGAATTCGTTCTTTCTATTAGACAATTTGATGTTGGGGGGGGGGGGATTTTTTCAAGCACCCAGGGTGGAGGAAGGAAATGCATCTATCAGCTTTCAGTCTCAGCATTATGATGCTCCCTGTCATACACAAACTGAATTGACTCTGGTTGTGGCGCATCCCAGGGTAATGTTTTGGCACTAGCTTAGATACAATCTAGTACCTTCACATTGATGAGCGTGAGGGAATGGGGAAGCAGAAATTGAGCATGCCGAAAACTGCCAAAACCGGGGGCAGGGTCTGAGGCAGGGCTCATTATGAGCCCATCCCCTGAAATTTTTTGATAAATTTTTGCACGTAACCGAATTTAATTTTGCATCCTCTTAGTACACTCAATCAGAGTGCATCGTGAGAGGTACTAGTTAAAAATATAAGCGTCACTTGACCTCAGAGGTGTGATATGGGACCTGCAACCCCATGATATTAGTTGTGATGTGGGCACTTTTTTTAATGGTCAACTTTGAATGCGGGAGAGGGGGGTGAGAGTTTGGTAGCGACCTCAAAAAGTTAAGCAAGAAACTGCTCTGCTTGACCTGGTTGTGATATAGACTACTTTTTTTAAGATACGTATCATTAAATATATTGAGCATAGGGATATTTCATTGATTCCACTATACTAATAGACATGTAATCAGTGGAAGGCATCAGCTGCTATTCTGTAAACTACTAATGGAAACGTTTAAAAGTTGTATATCCTATTTTCCCCCTAAAAATTTCCTGGAGTCGAAGGGGTGCGGAGGTGGCAGTCTGCCCTGGGCTCTACTTTTTTTCCTAATCCTATATATTGAGGGGTTTTTTTTCATATGGGGGGGGGGGGAATATTGGTTTGCTTTGCCCCTAAATACAAAACTGCCTGGAGTCTTAGGTTTAGGTTCTACCATTGTCCAGTGTAATTCTCAAAATAACAATCCCCCCCCCCCCCATGGTCCACTTGGGAACCAATTGTCTTAATTTAATTTTGTTAAAATATTATATAACTGTATTTTCTGTTACAGTTTTATAATGCCTTTGAGACATGGACCTTTGCAATTACAAAATCCTAATAGTAATCGACTAAAATGTGACGCATACAGAAATACAATTTATAACACTTGTTAAGTTAAACTATTGAACCTAAATTCACTTTTTTTTTAAAAACTTTCTGCTGTCTTTCATCCAGCATTTTGAAAAAATGCAGCTCTGTGCAAACTCCCAATAAGGGCGCCCTCCTCCCAACACTCACATCATTTTTATAATTTTTAAAAAGTGCCACCTTGCCCCCTTCCCTTCAGAAACACCTAGTTTTTCCAGTACTTGAATTACCTAGATTCACAACCCCCTAGTTTTGCAACACTGCTTGCATCTAATAGAAAAAATATCTTAGGCCGCTTCCAGTATTAGTGAGGCCACCTCCGGTCTTAGTGTTATGACTGGTAGATCAGTAAAGAATACCTGTTGCGCTTGTTGTTGTTGTGCCAAGTGTTAGCACTGTACAGTTTTAATTGTTTAACTGTTCCGTCAATAGATTATCCAAACACAAAGTGTAACATGAACTGACCTTAATGCACTAGACGTTCTGAATGAAACTAAACTTTTTTTTAAATTCTGAACTGTTGAGGGTTATTTGGCACAAAATAAAGACCTCTGGTGTTCCATTGCTTGGCACGGCTCAGTCTCAAGAATTTTCTTTTCAAGACTGAATTCCAAGAAAATTTCTCTTAAGCGAACGTGATTGAGACAAATTGATATTTATTTGGTCAAAATTTTGGTTTGAGGCTTCAATGGCTCAGCTCAAGGAAAAAGAGGTTCTCATACTGTCAGACTCACTGAGCAGTGCCAGCTTTAAAGCTGAAGAGAAGACCAGCGGTCACTATCGGCCAGGACGCGGGGAGTTCTTTGAGAAGAGAGAGACCAGGTTGGACGGAGACAAGAAAAAAGTCACTTACATCTTACAGACATCCGACACACATGGGTCACCTGCCAGGTAATTGCTTACACCTTGCTTTGCTCCAGGACAACTGGTTCACATCCAAGGCTGTTAATCACGTACCGTAGCTAATCTTCTGTATTAATTTGAACACATTCTGAGATGTGGCCGATGAGCATCTAAACAATCTGGAATCACTGTGCTTTTAATGTGAAGCCATTCTATAATCTGTTTATAGATATAGAATGTGTATTTACAACCTGAAGAATGGTGTGCTGTCATGTCTTAAAATGCCATCAACCATTACATTTGAATGTCAGCATTATTTTTCCCAGCCCCAACTCCTACCATTGTTTATCTGGCTGTGCCAATTAAATATGAAACTGGAGTCTCATGTTTCAATACAAATTTAAAAAATATATGCACACTAAAAAGTTCCCCACCGATTTCTAGTCAAATGATTCATAGCAATATTGTCCAGCCATACTTGATGTTCCCCCATCACATCAGTATTGTCCAGCCATGTTCCCCCATCACATCAGTATTGTCGAGCCATGTTCCCCCATCACATCAGTATTGTTGAGCCATGTTCCCCCATCACATCAGTATTGTCCAGCCATGTTCCCCCATCAAATCAGTATTGTCCAGCCATGTTCCCCCATTATATCAGTTTTGTCCAGCCATGTTCCCCCATCACATCAGTATTGTCCAGCCATGTTCCCCCATCACATCAGTATTGTCCAGCCATGTTCCCCCATTATATCAGTTTTGTCCAGCTATGTTCCCCCATCACATCAGTATTGTCCTCCCATGTTCCCTCCACCCATCCAACAACTCTTTATTTTAAAAAAGAACCAACCAACTCTTCGTGTTATTTTTGTTACTCAAGTTTTCAATCTTATTTCCTCCACAGTGATGAGGCCATTGAATCAAGTAAGTTTTTTTTAAATAATTTCTTTAATTGATATGTCAAATTTTTCAACCATTCAAGCTGTCTTTAAGTTGCTTTAAAAAAAAAAAAGAAATATCTCTACTGCTAATGTTTAGTGCATAACAACTTCAAGTGATTAATGATAAAGAACCAATACTATTGTTTTCCCTTGATTAAATGTATTTGAAGTGATATTCTATAATGATCACTTTGTTGTGGTGGGCACTGGAACTGGAAGGTAAAAACTAATGAAATGTGCTGGTGATGCATTAAGGAAAAGTAGCTGTAGGCCTACATATTTATTAAAACTTTTGGGTGGTCATATACTTTTTTCAACACTGCATGCTTTCAACCATTTCTGTTTTGTTTTTGTGAAAAAATTAATTGCATGGTCATCTCCCCTCCATTATAATGTAACTATGAGCAAGAATCGTTATTAAAATGGATTTTTGCAATTTGGAAGAAAAAAAATTTAAAATCTACCCAATAGTAGTCATCGACCCTGTGAAAAGGGCGTGTTCCATATTTGTCATCATTGAGTGGTAGGTTTGCAGTTCTATTTCTAATCCAATGAAGGAAAATAACCTCGACAAGAAAAGGTCTTGATTAGGTTAATTAAAAATCAAGTAATCAAGCTCTTGCCAGACAATCTCAGCTTATAATATAAGACCATTTCAGCTTATCATAAGATGATCTCAGCTTAAAATAAGACCTTTTCAGCTTATAATTAGACCATTTTGGCATATCATAGATGATTTCAGCTTATCTTAAGATGATCTCATCTTATGATAAGACCTTTTCAGCTTATCATAAGGTGATGTTAGCTTATCATAAGACAGTTTCAGCTTATTATACTTAATGTTTTCTGCCATTCACTATTGAAATGATGATCTTCTTTTGATAGATCTTAGCATACGTGTTGGTTTTGCTTCAGTACAAATGTACATTTTTTGTAAGGCCTAATGTAAAATATGTTTTTGTTTGTTTTATATTGTTGTTGTTGTGTCCAGGTGACAGCCACTGCCACTCTCAGATCAAGAAGGGAGAGTTTGACAAGAAAGCCAGGACCAAGCTGATTCTGGCCAGTGTCCTGTGCTTGTTGTTCATGACCGGGGAGATGGTTGGTAAGTGATGCATTGCCAGTTTGGTGAGATGTGCTTTGTTTTATGGGTATGGATCTGTACAAGAAATTTATCAATATTTGATTTTAAAACTCCCCATACTAGTACTCTGATGGTCTTAGTGCTCCCATGCTCTGAGTGCTCCCATGATCTTAGTGCTCCCATGCTCTTAGTACTCCCATGCTCTGCAAAGCCAGCTTCCTTGACACGTTTTTTTTTTAAATCGGGAAATCCAAACCATGGATTTATTTTTTTTTGCTATGAATTTTTGTTGCTGATTTGATTTTGTATTACTGCCTCAATAGACCCCACGATGCTTGTTTATATTGAAATTTATTGTGTTCATAGAAACAATCAGGCCTTCACTGTAATCACTCAATTCAATCATTATTTTGTTCATGTTCTGTTTAATATTTATTACTTCAATAATGACAATTTGTATTTACCCATTTTTCTCAACTAGGGTGGCCAGGTTTTTTAAGGAGTCGGGGGACATGAATTATGATTTTCAGAGCTTATGAAAACAAAAAAAATGGCTGAATTTTTAAGATATTACAAATATGAAAGTTCACTAAGAACTCCATTAAATAATAAGATCTAACAACCCTACGCTAGACCTGAAAACACAAAACTCTACAACGCATGGATTTATTAGTTTGATTAAAATTAATTACACAATTTATAAAATATTACAACTATATTACCTGATTTAAATTTTTTTTCAGTTGTGTTTTTATAATGCATCTCAGTTTTCTTACACCACACAATTGAATATTCACATATGCTGATTTATGGTTGTCATTATGACAGTGTTGGCTCAAACTGTTATTTATTATTATACAGGTGGCCTACTGGCCCACAGTCTTGCCATTGTTTCTGATGCTGCCCACCTCCTGACAGATTTTGCCAGCTTCATGATCAGTCTTATGGCCCTTTACCTGGCCCACCGGCCTGCTACCAAAAAACTCAGTTTTGGATGGTACAGAATAGGTATACTTTATAATTGATTAGTTTACATGGTACAGAATAGTTCTCCTTTATACTAAAATAATAGATAAGATGGTATAGAAAAGGTATGCTTTATAGTAACATAATAGTTAAGATAATACAGAATGGGTATACTTAATAATTAATAAGTTTATAAGGCACATCATAGTTATACTTTATACTAAAATAATAGTTAAGATTAGACACAATTGGTATAATTAATTAGTATATTAAGGCACAGAATGGTTATACTTTATATAACAGATAAGATGGTACAGAATGGCTGTACTTGATTTAAAGAATCAGCTTTAATGAGTGAATTGTATATAATGTGATGCTGAAAAATTTTATTAAAAAACTTGTGTTTTATGTTTGCTCTAAATCATCTCTATTTATATTGAGGTACATAAATCTTTCTTTCCTTTTTCAATGTGTTTTTATTTGTTTCCAGATTTAAAATCTTCCCACTTTAAAAAATAAAAAAAAAAAAAAAATATAAATATTTTTTTTTTTTTTTTTTTCATTTTTTTTTTTTTTTTTCCAATTTTTAAAATTTTCCCTTTTTAAAAAAAAAAAAAAAAGAATTTCAATGTTGTTGCTTTTATTCAAGTATTTTTTTTTTTAATTTTAAAAAATTTTTTTTTTGAGATGACTACCCAATACTTCAATCATATTGACACAACTAATATTACAAAATTCATCATTTGACACATAGGAAATACAAGTGTGATTACATGACAATGTGTGATGATTTCATATATTTTGTAGACATGGAATAGGCTAAGAAATTATTGAAAATATATTCATTGATGTTACGCATCAGGCGATTACGTAATTACAATGTTACATATATTTCAGAAATTCTCGGAGCTTTTGTCTCAATTTTGATGTTGTGGGTGCTGACTGGGATCTTGGTGTACTCTGCTGTCCTGCGCATCATGGAGGACAGCTACGAGATCAATGCAACCATCATGTTGATAACGGCAGCCACGGGGGTTGCCTTTAATATAGTGTGAGTAGTTGGGGACCTGCTTGGGGTTTCTGCCATCACTGTAAATACAATTAGAGAGTAGGTCAGTGAGTGTAAACAGCCTCAGTCAGTAGATCTAATAGTGTACACATTCTCAGTCAGTAGGTTTAACAGTGTACACATCCTCAGTCAGCAAGTCTAACAGTGTACACATTCTCGGTCAGTTAGTCTAACAGTTTACACATTCTCAGTCAGTAAGTCTAACAGTGTACACATTCTTCATCAGTAGGTCTAACAGTGTACACAGCCTCAGTCAGTAAGTCTAACGGTGTACACAACCTCAGTCAGTAGGTCTAACGGTGTACACAACCTCAGTCAGTAGGTCTAATGGTGTGCAAACCTCAGTCAGTAGGTCTAACGGTGTACACAACCTCAGTCAGTAGGTCTAACGGTGTACACAACCTCAGTCAGTAGGTCTAACAGTGTACACAACCTCAGTCAGTAGGTCTAACAGTGTACACATCCTCAGTCAGTAGGTCTAATGGTGTACAAAACCTCAGTCAGTAGGTCTAAAAGTGTACACAGAGTGTCATAAGATTAAAGAGTGGGACTAGGCATGAGATGTAAAAGGATTAATCATTATCCCTTAGAAATCGTTCAGTCTCTTCCCTTCTGTGTCCAGTATGAGATATTTTAATTTATAATTCAAGGAAGATCTTTTTACTTAGTTTTTTATTTATTTGTAGTCTAGGCACAACACTGCACCAACACTCACACGGTCATGGTGGGGGTCATGGTCACAGCCATGGTGGTGGCCATAGTCATGGTGGAGGTCAAGGTCATGCCCATGGTGGAGGTCAAGGCCATGCCCATGGTCGAGGTCATGACAAAGGACATGGGGGCCATCACTCAAACGGTGGGCCGGATCACACAGCTGAGGCCAACCACGCCTCTTCACTATCCACACCGAGGCCCAGGAGTTACGGAAGCATCGGAGATGAGGAAATGGGGGGAGGTGCAAGGATCACTGACAGCGAGACAGCGCCACTCGTTCAGTTCAAGGAACCTGATCATAAGAGCCACGGACGGGAGTCTAACATCAATGTCAAGGCGGCATTTATACACGTCATAGGTGACCTTTTCCAGAGTGTGGGAGTTCTGGTGGCTGCTTTCATAATCTACTATAAGGTAAGTCAACAAAACATGCAATGAGTTCAACTCTTTCACTGCTGAATTATTTTATCAAAAAAAATGTACATTTTTTTTCAAAGAGCGAAAAAGAGTGAGAAGTTGGGTTTATTAAAAATAATTTTGAATTTTTTTTTTTGGTTTATAAAATAAACTTGGTATCAAATGAAAGATAATTGAAAGCACCATATGTTTGTAAACTTATTTCTTCAGTTTAAGTAAAATAAGTTACAGAAAAGAACCAAAAAATGTGAAATCATTTTATGCTAAACCATTTTTTACCCAAATCCTATTGATGTACGCATTCCTCATCTTCACTTCCATAACTCAAATCCTCTAAAACTACTACTATCGGAATCATGTGATGGATCCAAATATAAATCGTCTTCACTATCAAAAGAAATAGTATAAAACAATTCCAAAGCTTTTTGAGCTGCTAATCATCTAGGAAACTTATTCACCTACTAGGGCCTAGAGTAGCCATAGCAACAGAAGAAAAAAAGCCAAGAAAATCATTAAAATAAAGCTTCAAATGAAAATAAATATATCATAATATATAAACAATGAAGTACCACTCTTCTATGTAAAGGTCTTATTTAAAAATAGCTCTTAAAAGTTTGACTGAGAAATAGCAAAGAAACAAACTCAGTGTAAACTCCTACATTTGATAGCCCTATAAACATCAACAAATATCAGTGGATTCTCAACATGGATTTAACACTGAGTTTTGTGGTCTACAACATATCTCGCAGTCTGAACATACCTATTAAGAATCCATTTTGTTCTTAAAGTGTCATAATGCATGACAGATATTTGAATTTCTTAATTGTAAACAATGTTTTTTTTAAATATCTAAATGACAGCCGGAATGGAAGATAGCAGACCCCATCTGTACATTCATGTTTTCATTATTTGTGCTCATCACTACCATCACCATCATGAGGGATATTGTTGTGGTGCTTATGGAAGGTAAGCAATTCGGATAGGGATCTGTATGATATAAAGACACATGAGCATTTAAAACACGGAAATAAAAACACGGAGACACATTAGCTAGCGAGGACAGAGATCCATACAGTTCCAAGACACTGGAGCTAGCTAGGATAGGAATCCAGCTAAGACACTAGAGCTAGCTAGGACAGGGTCCATACAGTACTAAGACAGTGTAGCTACTTAGGACTGGGATCCATACAGTACTAAGACACTGGAGCTAGCTTGTACATGTATCCTTACAGTACTAAGACACTGGAGCTAGCTTGTACATGTATCCTTACAGTACTACAACACTTGAGCTAGCATAGACATGTACCCTTACAGTTACAGTACTAAGACACTTGAGCATTATAGTTCCAGTAACAACCACACTAGATAAATGTGGACACGAAAGACTGACTTGACTATGATTGACTCTAAAACTGAAACGGAAAAGATCTCATGTAAAGATTGGAAATGCACATCATGTACTCACAAGTTTATTTGATCTTGTCATTTATAATACGCCCAAAGGAATCAAGAAATCTATTTTTACCAAGAAATTTATACTTTTAAAAGTAATGAAAACACACTTGATATGTAAAGAAAACACACTTGATATGTAAAGAAAACACACTTGATATGTAAAGAAAACACACTTGATATGTAAAGAAAACACACTTGATATGTAAAGAAAACACACTTGATATGTAAAGAAAACACACTTGATATGTAAAGAAAACACACTTGATATGTAAAGAAAACACACTTGATATGTAAAGAAAACACACTTGATATGTAACAAACTATTTCAGGCCTATTTAATTTTAATGGGATTTTTCCCCTCTAGAGGTTGACCAAAGTAATAAAAGGAAAAATAATCAAATGTTAAACTTTTGGCCCAGAAAACTAAGGCTTCTTTGAAATGTCTTATTTGTATTTTGTCCTGTTGAATTTCTAATCCAGGCACCCCAAGGGGCATCAACTTCATTGACGTCAGAGAAACATTTTTCCAGGTGGAGGGAGTTCTGGATATCCATAACCTGAGGGTGTGGTCACTCACCATGGATAAAATAGCTCTGTCGGTTCACCTGGCCGTTGGTAAGTAGCCTACGCGATGGCTGGTGAATGAACAAGATATAAAACAACAACTCACTTAACACACCCCCCCCCCCCCACGAAGACAGCAAACCACTGGTATAGGAAAATAATACAAGAGATCAAATAAAGCTGCTTCCTTCTCTAACAGAGATCCCTTCCTTTTCTAAAACTAGAGCTACATTGACTTTATTGAGATCTTCTAACACACACGTCGATAGAGCCACATTGACCTTTGAGATCTTCTAACACACACGTCGATAGAGCCACATTGACCTTTGAGATCTTCTAACACACACGTCTATAGAGCTACATTGACTTTATTGAGATCTTCTAACACACACGTCTATAGAGCTACATTGACTTATTGAGATCTTCTAACACACACGTCTATAGAGCCACATTGACCTTTGAGATCTTCTAACACACACGTCTATAGAGCCACATTGACCTTTGAGATCTTCTAACACACACGTCGATAGAGCCACATTGACCTTTGAGATCTTCTAACACACACGTCTATAGAGCCACATTGACCTTTGAGATCTTCTAACACACACGCCTATAGAGCTACATTGACTTTATTGAGATCTTCTAACACACACGTCTATAGAGCTACATTGACTTTATTGAGATCTTCTAACACACACGTCTATAGAGCTGCATTGACTTTATTGAGATCTTCTAACACACACGTCTATAGAGCCACATTGACTTTATTGAGATCTTCTAACACACACGTCTATAGAGCCACATTGACCTTTGAGATCTTCTAACACACACGTCTATAGAGCTACATTGACTTTATTGAGATCTTCTAACACACACGTCTATAGAGCCACATTGACCTTTGAGATCTTCTAACACACACGTCTATAGAGCTGCATTACTTTATTGAGATCTTCTAACACACACGTCTATAGAGCTACATTGACTTATTGAGATCTTCTAACACACACGTCAATAGAGCCACATTGACTTTGAGATCTTCTAACACACACGTCTATAAAGCTACATTGACTTATTGAGATCTTCTAACACACACGTCTATAGAGCTACATTGACTTTATTGAGATCTTCTAACACACACGTCTATAGAGCCACATTGACTTTATTGAGATCTTCTAACACACACGTCTATAGAGCCACATTGACCTTTGAGATCTTCTAACACACACGTCTATAGAGCTACATTGACTTATTGAGATCTTCTAACACACACGTCTATAGAGCTACATTGACTTATTGAGATCTTCTAACACACACGTCTATAGAGCTACATTGACTTATTGAGATCTTCTAACACACACGTCTATAGAGCTACATTGACTTATTGAGATCTTCTAACACACACGTCTATAGAGCCACATTGACTTATTGAGATCTTCTAACACACACGTCTATAGAGCTACATTGACTTATTGAGATCTTCTAACACACACGTCTATAGAGCTACATTGACTTATTGAGATCTTCTAACACACACGTCTATAGAGCTACATTGACTTATTGAGATCTTCTAACACACACGTCTATAGAGCTACATTGACTTATTGAGATCTTCTATCACACACGTCTATAGAGCTACATTGACTTATTGAGATCTTCTAACACACACGTCTATAGAGCTACATTGACTTATTGAGATCTTCTAACACACACGTCTATAGAGCTACATTGACTTATTGAGATCTTCTAACACACACGTCTATAGAGCTACATTGACTTATTGAGATCTTCTAACACACACGTCTATAGAGCTACATTGACTTATTGAGATCTTCTAACACACACGTCTATAGAGCCACATTGACTTATTGAGATCTTCTAACACACACGTCTATAGAGCCACATTGACTTTGAGATCTTCTAACACACACGTCTATAGAGCTACATTGACTTTATTGAGATCTTCTAACACACACGTCTATAGAGCTACATTGACTTTATTGAGATCTTCTAACACACACGTCTATAGAGCCACATTGACTTTGAGATCTTCTAACACACACGTCTATAGAGCTACATTGACTTATTGAGATCTTCTATCACACACGTCTATAGAGCTACATTGACTTATTGAGATCTTCTAACACACACGTCTATAGAGCTGCATTGACTTTATTGAGATCTTCTAACACACACGTCTATAGAGCTGCATTGACTTTATTGAGATCTTCTAACACACACGTCTATAGAGCTACATTGACTTTATTGAGATCTTCTAACACACACGTCTATGATTTTATATATCTAACTATCTGCTTGTTTCTTGTTTTGCAATGTCTGCTAAAAAAGGCATCTTGGCAAAAATGTCCTGTCTTTGTCCTGTCTTTTTCATTTCAAGCCTAAACTTGTCCTGTTCCTCTATGTCCTTCACAATGCATGAATGCAGTCCCTCAGTTATTAATCCACTCCACTTTATTTCATGTAACTATATCACAAAAGATATTTGTTCAAAAAAATGTATAAACTCTACTCTACGGCTTATGTCGAGTTGTTCCCTTTGACTGAGATTTGAATGGGTAAAATGGATAAGCCCCCTGGGTTGAATGGTTGAATGACATTCACTTCACTTATTTTTGTGCTGTCATTGTTCAAGTTTTTCATTTGTGTACATTTGACCCTGTTATAATGAACTAGAAACAGGCCCCCCAATCAATAGTGACGGCTGTTAGTGAACGTCCCATCTACCAAAGCTACTTGACAAAACATGCATTCAAGTACCACACATTATCAGAATCCCCTCACTAGGTACCACCGCACACTTTTGCCACACTCCCCGTCATGTCTCGGCCCCCTTTTCATTTCTACAGCTGTTTGCATAAAACAAAAGAAAACTTATCCCGCCAAACGGGTTTGTGGGATTTTTACAAATCTCATATAGCGCAGTTATCAGGAATTTAAATTTACTGGCACTTGAACACAGCGTTACAAAATACAAACCTAGAGAATCTTGAGTTGTGTTAATTATAAAAATGTAATCTCAAACAAGAGGCTTTTAAATTAATCATAGGTTGTTTGTTGATTTTTTTTTTAGAAATTCAAATAATGAAGGTAAAAAAAATTACTGTACCAATATTGATCTATTGACTTATTCCCCCCCACCACCCCCCCCCCACACACACACTCATACACCTACCATCTCATCCAAAATGTAGACAAGAATGCTGACCCTCACAGAGTGCTTAAAATGGCCTCCCTGGCCATCCAGCAGTTTTTTTTTAGAAATTCAAATAATGAAGGTAAAAAAAATTACTGTACCAATATTGATCTATTGACTTATTCCCCCCCACCCCCCCCCCCCCCACACACACACTCATACACCTACCATCTCATCCAAAATGTAGACAAGAATGCTGACCCTCACAGAGTGCTTAAAATGGCCTCCCTGGCCATCCAGCAGAAGTTCAATATATCTGAGACCACCATGCAGATAGAGGAGTATGTGGATGAGATGTTGGATTGCCGAGACTGCCAAGGGCCGAAATTATAACCTTTTTTATTTCTACCCACAGTTACGTCATTTTGTTTGCCATGTTAAGTTTCCCATTGCCTTATCAGGAATTCTTCTATTAATCATGTTTCATCACTGTGTACTTCATGAAGAAGTACTTGACAATTTAAAGCCTTTTTATATGTTTATAAGAAACTCAATGCAATATTTACAAGAGCACAACTGAACTTTGGTCTGGTGATGCTTTGGACCGTGCTCAAAATTGTCTATAGAAATAATTAAGTTGTTCTTTTGGTCTTTAGATGTTCAATATTATTTAGTTTAACAGTTGTTAATATTTTTTAGTTTATTTTTCAAAAATAGCTTCTGGTTGTTTTTTTAATAATTTTTCTGACATAATTTTGTATTCTTAAATAGAGCTCCTTTTATTTTGTACAGATAATATTTTAAAATTAATCATTTCCACAGTCCATAAAATTCTTATATTAAACACTGGCATATTGAGAACTGCTGCTTAGTATGGCTGGGGTATACTTTTATAAGAATATTTAAATAACAACTGATCATGAAAAGTGACCATGTTTGACAACACAAGGCTTCCCTTGCAGATATTATAAGAATAATTTTCAGGTATTTTAAGAATAATTTGGGACTGGTCAAGTGTGTTAATACATTACCAGTTGCAGGGTGTTCAGATTTGGGGCACTTTGATTAATATAATTATCCCCACCTGTCTATACCCCATCTGTATATACCTCACCTGTCCCTATCCCACCTGTCCATACCCCACATGTCCATTTGCCACTTGTCCATATGCCACTTGTCCATACCCCACATATCCATATGCCACCTTTCCATACCCCACCTATCCATACCCCATCGGTCCATATGCCACCTTTCCATACCCCACATGTCCAAATGCCACCTCGCTTTTCCCTAAATATCTGGCCAAATGTATCATTCACTGCTGCCGGAAGCATTCCCCCACAAAGATCTCCAAAGTCATTTGACATCAACTTGATTGATGGAACATAAGTGGTGGCCATTTCAGAGTATGTGGGGCATCTGCAATAAATGTCCAAGAATTCTGGAGCTTATTTGAATTTTTTCTTCTCCTAAACTATAGTCATTTTTTGGTGTGTGTATGTGTGCATTGGCTTTGCATTGACTCAACAAATTTCTTTTGTGACATACATTTTTTATGCTTTATGTGACTGAAGACAAATGTGTTCCACTGCAGAAAATGAGGACAAAAATAAAACCTGATCTCATGGGAGAGACAAGAGTTGTGTGGGGGATGTCAAGAATGAAAATGTTAAGTTTAAATTTGTTGGGGGGTTTTTCCATATCTATAATACATGTATATTTCATATGATGGGTGTTTTTTATTTTGAGTATCCATTCCAAAAGAGGTAGTAATTTTAATTATTTTTTTTAAAGATCTAAAACTACATAAATTTGTATCAACCTTTTCAAAAAGAGGTTGAATTAAAATTTTATTTTCTGCCATGTTGTCAAGCAGGTTCAACTCTTTCATAATTTATTTGAGCCATGCTGAATGTTTGTTTAATATTCAAACTTTCACCTTTTGGTTCACTATTTATCTATGTGAATTGCTAAGTCGCTATGATATTATACATAATAATTTTATACCTCTGATAGTATTTGGGTGTTGGTAAACATTACTGTTATGTACATCCCTGATATTAATTGTATTTTATTAACCTCACATTCATATTTGTACATTCCTTCTCAACGTTCTAAGTCCACAAATAAAATGTGTACTGTAAAGAAAAAATGTTAAAAAAAACCTCTTAAATGATGTATTTAAATGATGTATTTAAATGATGTATTTATTACAGAAGAATTAAAATTAATTACTTTAAGAATACAGGTTTTTGTTTGCCTTTTTTCTTGGAATTGGTCTCCCCTCTACAGACAGAACATCTCTACTGTTATAGTTTCTATTAGAACATCTCTACTGTTATAGTTTCTATTAGAACATCTCTACTGTTATAGTTTCTATTAGAACATCTCTACCGTTATAGTTTCTATTAGAACATCTCTACTGTTATAGCTTCTATTAGAACATCTATACTGTTATAGTTTCTATTAGAACATCTCTACTGTTATAGTTTCTATTAGAACATTTCTACTGTTATAGTTTCTATTAGAACATCTCTACTGTTATAGTTTCTATTAGAACATCTCTACTGTTATAGTTTCTATTAGAACATTTCTACTGTTATAGTTTCTATTAGAAAATCTCTACTGTTATAGTTTCTATTAGAACATCTATACTGTTATAGTTTCTATTAGAACATCTCTACTGTTATAGTTTCTATTAGAACATCTCTACTGTTATAGTTTCTATTAGAACATCTCTACTGTTATAGTTTCTATTAGAACATTTCTACTGTTATAGTTTCTATTAGAACATCTCTACTGTTATAGTTTCTATTAGAACATCTCTACTGTTATAGTTTCTATTAGAACATTTCTACTGTTATAGTTTCTATTAGAACATCTCTACTGTTATAGTTTCTATTAGAACATCTCTACTGTTATAGTTTCTATTAGAACATCTCTACTGTTATAGTTTCTATTAGAACATTTCTACTGTTATAGTTTCTATTAGAACATCTCTACTGTTATAGTTTCTATTAGAACATCTCTACTGTTATAGTTTCTATTAGAACATCTCTACTGTTATAGTTTCTATTAGAACATCTCTACTGTTATAGTTTCTATTAGAACATATCTACTGTTAGTTTCTTTTAGAACATCTCTACTGTTATAGTTTCTATTAGAACATCTCTAATGTTATAGTTTCTATTAGAAAATCTCTACTGTTATAGTTTCTATTTGAACATTTCTACTGTTATAGTTTCTATTAGAAGATCTCTACTGTTAGTTTCTTTTAGAACATCTCTACTGTTATAATTTCTATTAGAACATCTCTACTATTATAGTTTCTATTAGAACATCTATACTGTTATAGTTTCTATTAGAACATCTCTACTGTTAGTTTCTTTTAGAACATCTCTACTGTTATAGTTTCTATTAGAACATCTCTACAGTTATAGTTTCTTTTAGAACATCTCTACTGTTACAGTTTCTATTAGAACATCTCTACTGTTATAGTTTCCATTAGAACATCTATACTGTTATAGTTTTTATTAGAACATCTACACTATTATAGTTTCTATTAGAACATCTCTACTGTTATAGTTTCTATTAGAACATCTCTACTGTTAGTTTCTTTTAGAACATCTCTACTGTTACAGTTTCTATTAGAACATCTCTACTGTTATAGTTTCTATTAGAACATATATACTGTTATAGTTTCTTTTAGAACATCTCTACTGTTAGTTTCTTTTAGAACATCTCTACTTTTACAGTTTCTATTAGAACATCTCTACTGTTACAGTTTCTATTAGAACATCTCTACTTTTACAGTTTCTATTAGAACATCTCTACTGTTACAGTTTCTATTAGAACATCTCTACTGTTACAGTTTCTATTAGAACATCTCTACTTTTACAGTTTATATTAGAACATCTCTACTTTTACAGTTTCTATTAGAACATCTCTACTGTTACAGTTTCTATTAGAACATCTCTACTTTTACAGTTTCTATTACAACATCTCTACTTTTACAGTTTCTATTAGAACATCTCTACTTTTACAGTTTCTATTAGAACATCTCTACTTTTACAGTTTCTATTAGAACATCTCTACTTTTACAGTTTCTATTAGAACATCTCTACTTTTACAGTTTCTATTAGAACATCTCTACTTTTACAGTTTCTATTAGAACATCTCTACTTTTACAGTTTCTATTAGAACATCTCTACTTTTACAGTTTCTATTAGAACATCTCTACTTTTACAGTTTCTATTAGAACATCTCTACTTTTACAGTTTCTATTAGAACATCTCTACTTTTACAGTTTCTATTAGAACATCTCTACTTTTACAGTTTCTATTAGAACATCTCTACTTTTACAGTTTCTATTAGAACATCTCTACTTTTACAGTTTCTATTAGAACATCTCTACTTTTACAGTTTCTATTAGAACATCTCTACTTTTACAGTTTCTATTAGAACATCTCTACTTTTACAGTTTCTATTAGAACATCTCTACTTTTACAGTTTCTATTAGAACATCTCTACTTTTACAGTTTCTATTAGAACATCTCTACTTTTACAGTTTCTATTAGAACATCTCTACTTTTACAGTTTCTATTAGAACATCTCTACTTTTACAGTTTCTATTAGAACATCTCTACTTTTACAGTTTCTATTAGAACATCTCTACTTTTACAGTTTCTATTAGAACATCTCTACTTTTACAGTTTCTATTAGAACATCTCTACTTTTACAGTTTCTATTAGAACATCTCTACTTTTACAGTTTCTATTAGAACATCTCTACTTTTACAGTTTCTATTAGAACATCTCTACTTTTACAGTTTCTATTAGAACATCTCTACTTTTACAGTTTCTATTAGAACATCTCTACTTTTACAGTTTCTATTAGAACATCTCTACTTTTACAGTTTCTATTAGAACATCTCTACTTTTACAGTTTCTATTAGAACATCTCTACTTTTACAGTTTCTATTAGAACATCTCTACTTTTACAGTTTCTATTAGAACATCTCTACTTTTACAGTTTCTATTAGAACATCTCTACTTTTACAGTTTCTATGAGAACATCTCTACTTTTACAGTTTCTATTAGAACATCTCTACTTTTGTTTGCCTTTTTTAAAAATAAAATATTTTATTATTTAGAAATAAAATCATATGATTATAAAATTGATAATTCTGCAACTCTACTCGTCCTGAAATGAGTTTTTATTGCAGAGTATTTGTTTCTCCACCTAAACTGTGGAGGTGTCAACTAGAACTGACCGCAACTGCAACTAAGGTTGTTTTTTTAAACTTTGAATCCTGAAAAGATTATTTACTGCTCTCCCTTTCTACACTATGAAAGGCGCAGTACACTATGATAGGCGCCGAACACAATGAAAGGCACCGTACACTATGATTGGCACCGTACTCTATGTTAGGCACAATTCACTTTGATAGGCTCCGTACACAATGATAGGTACCGTACACTATGAAAGGCACCTTACACTATGATAGGCTCCGTACACTGTGAAATGCACTGTACACTATGATAGGCACCGTGCACTATGATAGGCACCGTGCACCATGAAAGGCGCCGTGCACTAGAATAGGCACCGTGCACTATGATAGGCACCGTACACTATGAAAGGCACCGTGCACTACGCTAGGCACCGTACACTATGATAGGCACCGTGCACTAAGTTACTATTGGATCCCGGAACTGAAATAACAAAATAGAAATATTTCAGAAGTCATCCTACTGGTCGTCAGTGAATTTCTTATGTTTGCATGTCAAGGCAGAGCTATTCTTATGTTTGCATGTCAAGGCAGAGCTATTCTTATGTTTGCATGTCAAGGCAGAGCTATTCTTGTGTAGGATAACATTCTTTAGTGATCCAAATAATGGGATTTGTGTATTATTATTATTATTAAATTGTACACATGCAACTAAATGCCGGTAAATATTTTAACTAAGACAGCATAGTACGATTATCAACAATTTATTTAAACGCAAGGCACCAAAAGTGTTTCTGTAGCGTAGAGAAGATATCCCAACCTGACTGAGCTTGATGGCTAACTTGGTGTACGAAGTCTATGACATCCAAACCCGACTGAGCTTGAGGGAAAACTTGGTGTACGAAGTCTATGACATCCAAACCTGACTGAGCTTGAGGGCAAACTTGGTGTACGAAGTCTATGACATCCAAACCCGACTGAGCTTGATGGCTAACTTGGTGTACGAAAGTCAATGACATCCAAACCCGACTGAACTTGAGGGAAAACTTGGTGTACGAAGTCTATGACATCCAAACCAGACTGAGCTTGATGGCTAACTTGGTGTACGAAGTCTATGACATCCAAACCCGACTGAGGTTGATGGCTAACTTGGTGTACGAAAGTCTATGACATCCAAACCCGACTGAGCTTGATGGCAAACTTGGTGTACGAAGTCTATGACATCCAAACCTGACTGAGCTTGAGGGAAAACTTGGTGTACGAAGTCTATGACATCCAAACCCGACTGAGCTTGAGGGAAAACTTGGTGTACGAAGTCTATGACATCCAAACCCGACTGAGCTTGAGGGAAAACTTGGTGTACGAAGTCTATGATATCCAAACCCAACTGAACTTGAGGGAAAACTTGGTGTACAAAGTATATGACATCCAAACCCTACTGAGCTTGATGGCTAACTTGGTGTACGAAGTCTATGACATCCAAACCCGACTGAGCTTGATGGCTAACTTGGTGTACGAAAGTCTATGACATCCAAACCCGACTGAGCTTGATGGCTAACTTGGTGTACGAAGTCTATGACATTCAAACCCGACTGAGCTTGAGGGAAAACTTGGTGTACGAAGTCTATGATATCCAAACCCGACTGAACTTGAGGGAAAACTTGGTGTACGAAGTCTATGACATCCAAACCCGACTGAACTTGAGGGAAAACTTGGTGTACGAAGTCTATGACATTCAAACCCGACTGAGCTTGATGGCTGACTTGGTGTACGAAAGTCTATGACATCCAAACCTGACTGAGCTTGATGGCAAACTTGGTGTACGAAGTCTATGACATCCAAACCTGACTGAGCTTGAGGGAAAACTTGGTGTACGAAGTCTAAGACATCCAAACCCGACTGGGCTTGAGGGAAAACTTGGTGTACGAAGTCTATGACATCCAAACCCGACTGAGCTTGAGGGAAAACTTGGTGTACGAAGTCTATG